ATAAGGGTTTAATAAGGGATTGGCTCCTTCGGGAAAGGCTTGGAGTTTGAATTTGGCAATTGCCTTTGGAAAAGGCTTGCTACCCTTCTGGGCTTCCAGGGGCTGCTCTGGCACAGCTTGCTGCAATAGTGAACCCAGCAAACAAACCTACTAAAGTGAAATGGAGCCTCTCCTGGTCCAGGGCCTTGGGAAATTGTGGAAAAGCTGTTCTTTAATAAGGGTTTAATAAGGGATTGGCTCCTTTGGGAAAGGCTTGGAGTTTGAATTTGGCAATTGCCTTTGGAAAAGGCTTGCTTCCCTTCTGGGCTTCCAGGGGCTGCTCTGGCACAGCTTGCTGCAATAGTGAACCCAGCAAACAAACCTACTAAAGTGAAATGGAGCCTCTCCTGGTCCAGGGCCTTGAAAAATTGTGGAAAAGCTGTTCTTTAATAAGGGTTTAATAAGGGATTTGCTCCTTTGGGAAAGGCTTGGAGTTTGAATTTGGCAATTGCCTTTGGAAAAGGCTTGCTTCTCTTCTGGGCTTCCAGGAGCTGCTCTGGCACAGCTTGCTGCAATAGTGAACCCAGCAAACAAACCTACTAAAGTGAAATGGAGCCTCTCCTGGTCCAGGGCCTTGGGTAAATTGTGTAAGAAGCGTTCTTTAATAAGTTTACTAAGGGATTTGGCCTCCTTGGAAAGGCGGTGGGAAGTTTGAAGTGGGGCAATTGCCCTTGGAAAAAGGCTTGCTTCCCTCTTGTCTTCCAGGGGCTGCTCTGGCACAGCTTGCTGCAATAGTGAACCCAGCAAACAAACCTACTAAAGTGAAATGGAGCCTCTCCTGGCCCAGGACCTTGGAAAATTGTGGAAAAGCTGTTCTTTAATAAGGGTTTAATAAGGGATTGGTTCTTTTGGGAAAGGCTTGCAGTTTGAATTTGGCAATTTTGGAAATGGCTTGCTTCCCTTCTGCAGGGGCTGCTCTGGCACAGCTTGCTGCAATAGTGAACCCAGCAAACAAACCTACTAAAGTGAAATGGGGCCTCTACTGGTCCAGGGCCTTGGAAAATTGTGGAAAGCTGTTCTTTAATAAGGGTTTAATAAGGGATTGGTTCTTTTGGGAAAGGCTTGCAGTTTGAATTTGGCAATTTTGGAAATGGCTTGCTTCCCTTCTGCTTCCAGGGGCTGCTCTGGCACAGCTTGCTGCAATAGTGAACCCAGCAAACAAACCTACTAAAGTGAAATGGAGCCTCTCCTGGTCCAGGGCCTTGGAAAATTGTGGAAAAGCTGTTCTTTAATAAGGGTTTAATAAGGGATTGGCTCCTTTGGGAAAGGCTTGGAGTTTGAATTTGGCAATTGCCTTTGGAAAAGGCTTGCTTCCCTTCTGGGCTTCCAGGGGCTGCTCTGGCACAGCTTGCTGCAATAGTGAACCCAGCAAACAAACCTACTAAAGTGAAATGGGGCCTCTACTGGTCCAGGGCCTTGGAAAATTGTGGAAAGCTGTTCTTTAATAAGGGTTTAATAAGGGATTGGTTCTTTTGGGAAAGGCTTGGAGTTTGAATTTGGCAATTTTTGGAAAAGGCTTGCTTCCCTTCTGGGCTTCCAGGGGCTGCTCTGGCACAGCTTGCTGCAATAGTGAACCCAGCAAACAAACCTACTAAAGTGAAATGGAGCCTCTCCTGGTCCGGGCCTTGGAAAATTGTGGAAAAGCTGTTCTTTAATAAGGGTTTAATAAGGGATTGGCTCCTTTGGGAAAGGCTTGGAGTTTGAATTTGGCAATTTTGGAAAAGGCTTGCTTCCCTTCTGGGCTTCCAGGGGCTGCTCTGGCACAGCTTGCTGCAATAGTGAACCCAGCAAACAAACCTACTAAAGTGAAATGGAGCCTCTCCTGGTCCAGGGCCTTGGAAAATTGTGGAAAAGCTGTTCTTTAATAAGGGTTTAATAAGGGATTGGTTCTTTTGGGAAAGGCTTGGAGTTTGAATTTGGCAATTTTGGAAAAGGCTTGCTTCCCTTCTGGGCTTCCAGGGGCTGCTCTGGCACAGCTTGCTGCAATAGTGAACCCAGCAAACAAACCTACTAAAGTGAAATGGAGCCTCTCCTGGTCCAGGGCCTTGGAAAATTGTGGAAAAGCTGTTCTTTGATAAGGGTTTAATAACGGATTGGTTCTTTTGGGAAAGGCTTGGGGTTTGAATTTGGCAATTTTGGCAAAGGCTTGCTTCCCTTCTGGGCTTCCAGGAGCTGCTCTGGCACAGCTTGCTGCAATAGTGAACCCAGCAAACAAACCTACCTTGACTGAGCTATAGCGTTTTTGAGAAAAAATGCCTCTCAGCAATTACAGTTTTCTTTGCAAAAAAAAGGGCTCTCCCAATTTTGTTTTGCCACAAAAGCGAACCCTCCAAACAATACATGAGTTTCAGAATAATTTGGAAAAAATTTGCCACAATAGCGACCCTAGGTACTAATCAGGACCCAACATTATTGTCGGAAGTTTGACTTCTAAACTTCCTTCGATAATACATATACATATATATATATATGTAATCCTGTGAAAACAGTGACAGAGATCACTTTTCTGTCTTCTTAGGGGGTTAGAGTGGAAGCGCAGAACCCATCATTCGGAATCCTGCTTAGGAAATTTCTTGTTGCTTCTGAACTGAAAATATGGTACGTAGGTATGTGTAGGTACCTGACCCGCAAGTTTGATGATTCATCACCACTTTCGCCAATTGCCATAATTAGATTGTGAGGTATGCAATTTTTCCGAACCATCTTTCCATGCGGATCACCGTGGTATGATCACAGTCCATGCTGTCACTAAGGCTGTTCTTCCCCTACGTTTCGCCTCTCGATGGTGAGAACGGCCACGAACCCGTCGTCCCAGCCACCTGTCAGATCCAGAAGTTTTCGGTGGACAGGCGCAGATGCAGATTGGGATGGCCATGGCCGATGCAAGGTGGTGCCCCAAAACATTCACTAAGTTGGTCTAAAACACAACATGACTAGTTTATATAGATGTTTATGGTAATTAGATATATTTGTACTCTACAGGTCATGGGGCTTGTGGGGCAACTTTGAACGGACCGCACCACCTTGTAAGAAGCCTTCGCTATAGCTGGTTCTTTAGCGATGTGGAACATGTGAGACGTTTGCAAGATATTAGCACGTTTTCTTGTTGTTAGGAAGTCTACGTGCCGCAAGGTTGTCGTTTTTTAGGAACTACGGAACTATTCTTTTTGGTTCCTGTTCCGAATGTCAACCACTTCAAGAACCCCGAAGAGTATCTACCTGTCAAGGAGTGAACCCAAACAACATCTCCTGCTTATTGGCATCGTCAGGTGATCCCCAGTGTTTTCAGGCGGCTCGGAAGCCTTTTTCCGCGCGCTTGACAGGTCCAAAGATGTTGGAGCTCCTGTGACACAGTTGTCGGATCACTATGGTGTCGTGTCAATGGTGTCAGGTTCAGGGGTTGATCAGGGCCTGTGGCCAATGATTTGCCAGCTGGATAGTGGACATCAATTACAGTACTGTTGAAGTTTGAAATGATTATGTCTATGTCACGTTACGTTATGTTATTTTGATAATGGTATGATTTTATTTTTATCTCATTGTTATGTTAACAAATTCTGTGAACATGTTATGTTAAATGCTACAAGTCTATGTCAATCTATGTCACATGTTTTCTTCTGCCGAGACATGCCAAAACAATAAATCATTTAACCAGAGCCTTCAGTATTCACAATGCATTTGTACGTGCATACGTATGTATGAAGCATTTACTTTATATGCCCACATCACCACCGTTCGCTATGTTTCCCACAGTGTATCCGTTTGCACTTATTTACATATAGATACAGAATATGTGCGTCAACATTGCTGGTCTACATGCATATTCATGCACACACACTTGGTTACGTACTTTTTTGTTACTTGATTTGTAGTTGTAGTTCTGTCTATGCATATATATGTATATATTATTAACCGTTATGTGCAAATGTATGCATGACGTATGCAAGCGTGATATGCACACATTGCAAACATCTTGGTGCGTGTCTATGGGACTATGTTAGACAGTCTGCATGGATGTCACTCTTCCGGGGCGTTCGTGAAGTTGATCATCGCAGCCTTGATCGGTGAGTGTGGCAAAATGGCAAATCCAAGCACTGGTTAGGAGAGAATCAGCACCCATTCTACACAATAAATGTAAATAAATGTGAGGTTGGTGGTGAGGCACCTCATTTTGTGCAGGGTTTGTGGTTTCTCAGAAGAAAATGCTAAATGGCCAATACCTCCATACCTGACATGTGTTGGTCCATATGGGTTTCGCTCAGGATTACGTACCCAAATTGGATCACTTCAGGTAGCTTAGGTTGTTTCTGGAAGGCTCAGAAAATACCCCTAGTATACCTCTAGTTCCAACTGTTTCCATCATCATGTGTTTTAAAACCCCTAGTTCAACTACGTCTTAAAACCCCTAGGTCTGCGTCCTTAAGACAAATTGCGTAACCCTCAAGTTCATAAAACCATTAAACATCAAGAAGCAAATAGTTGAACCATTTGTTGAAACCTACAGTTAACATCAGTTAACCCCCATATTTTGAAGCCTTCCCAAGGCCTCGAAGGCAGTTTGGCCATCATCGAGTCGCCTGCTTACCTCTCCGCCCAGCGGCCGGAGCAGCGGAGCCGGGGCACGGACGTGCTAGGCGCGCGAAGCGCTGAAGCGGTGAAGCGATTCCCCCAATTTCGCGTCATTTTCATAGGGAAAATGAGGATAAACATGGATAGACCATGATAAACCATGATAAACCAGTGGGTGGAATGGGGTACCCTTTTTTCAGACAAACCCATATGATGGGATATAAGGGTCTATCTGAAATTGGCGTTCAATCTCCCTGGGTCTGGGAGTGGTTTGCCGTTTTTTGTTGGCCCTGAAAACCGGAAGGGAACCCTTTGAACCTGCTGTTGGGTTGCAAAGCCATGCAAAGCTGGTTTAATGGAGTAGAACGGTATACCCGCAATTTATCTCTAGTCTCATGGGGAAAATGACAATGTCATACAATGTCAGCATATTTTACCTTCCAGTAAGCTGACATAGCTATATAGAAAATCCACCATGTGTAGATCATTTCCCATAGAAACCAAGGATTTTCAATATCAAAGTTAATCTAAAAGTGATTGACCCATGTTGACCCTGATACATCGGACCCCCAAGTTTGACTCCCTTCAGCGAGGCCAGCGTCCGGCGGACGGCTATGGCAACACGGACACCTCCCCACTTGCAGCGGAGGTGTGTTGAGGGGGAAATCAATGGGCCAATAGATGTGTTAACTGTTTAACCTACAAAAAATGGGCAATGGGTACCCTCCACTAAACGAACAGTTGGTTCAGTTTGCGATGAAATACCACCATTGAAGTAAAACTAACATCATTATATAGGTACATCATCGAACTCAATGGGCCATTTTCCGGAGCTACGTTCGATTACCAGAGGGTAAGGATACGCGTGTGCTACCTCCCTCCCAAAAAAGAACAACATTGAATACATACATTGTTTTGATGATGATGATGATGATGATGATGAGCATGATGAGCATGATGAGCATGTTGTACTTGACAGTTTGGTTGTAGGAGACTCTAAGCTAATTTGCTAAACTTTACAGGTCGATTCACAAGAAACGTGGCAAAATCTGTAGAAGTATGCGGAAATGGCTTTTGCATGAAATCAAATTAACTATGGGGCGTTCCTGCATTTGTGCCCTACATATCACTGAAAACCGTTTGTTTGTGAGATAACCGACTGCTGAATAGTTGGTGCAAAGTGGGTGACAGTCCATGTTCAAGGAGAACCCATGTTGGGATATGTGAGCAGCATCATCAACCACAATACTCCATCATTAAGGGGCATCATGGGGTTTCCAAAATGGACTAGTGGGTGATTTTTCAGCAAGCTTGATTCAAGAGCAGAGAACCCTATCTCTTTTCTCTCCTGGAGGCCCAATTTCGAGATTAGCCATGCTATGTGCTTTTTGCCTTTGAGGGTTGGTCACGCAGCTGTTTGAAAGATGGATGTGTTTGATAGCAACATCATTGTTCGATTTTGTATGCGGTTCCATGTGCAAATTCAGGGGCGTCTCAGATATGCTAGAGGTTTATCAGTAAGGGCCAAGATGTCGAAAACCTGTTTCGCCAATCTTTGCTAGCAAAGAAGTCCTCCCTGTACTTCAAATTCGCAGTTCAATTTTTGATGTGCATCCTCAGGCCTAGAATTCTGCATTGGAATTTGGGGTGGTCGATGAATGTCGATGATCGGCATGCCATCCAGAGTAAACATGTGTTTGTGGGCCCCATTGGTTCATGGCCCAGGTTGAACCGCTAAATTAGGGTACTCCAGGAGGCTCAAGTCACTATCCGAGTTACCTGCTGCATGCTAATGGGTGGCAAGAATGGTATTCTATCCAATCTCAAAGATGTTGAGAATTAGAATTACTATATTCTCAGGAATATCTTATGATATTCTTAAGAGTTACTGTATTCTCCAAAATCTTAAGAGGGGGATAGCCCCACTTCCTGGACTGACTCTTCATCATCCCTCAGCGGGTTGCTCGATGCCAGAAGCGCAGGCACTGCAGAGAGAAGATGGGCTAGCCGAGGAGTCAATGGCTGAGTTGCCAGTGGTTGCTTGGAAGCAGGGGGCTTGCGGTTTCCATGTAAGTATTCCTCACAAAATTGCAGGAAACCATCGATTTTTTCGCTTACACCCCCTGCTAAGCAAGGATGACCCCCCAGTTTCCGTGGAAGTGGCATTGTTGGGTTGGCATCCATGTTGAAGTCTGGATTTCTAAGGGGTCAGTTGCCAAGGCTTCTTATGGAAAGATTCATGGTTGATCCTTTTCAGGCGGCGGATGAAGGCACGTCGACGTAGTGGACAGTGGGATATCACCAGAAGAATGGCAAAGGTTGCCTCATGGCATTTTTTGTGAGGCCAATGACGAGTGTTCAGACCCACGGACCCATGGTTCTGCATTGCCACCTGGTAGCTATGGCCCATGGCCTCAGGTTGAAGCCGAAGCAAAGCCGCTGCCCACGGACAGCAGGGAGCCGGCTGATACAGCGGCAGATGTTGTCAAGTTGGACGTAGACTGCGATGCAAGTCCTGCTGATCTGGCTGACTTGGCTCTTGGATAACGTGCAGATGGTGGATTTCCAACCGTTTTTTCACTGTTCCCATCCACCAGTCAGTGACATGTTGGTTAGTTTAAGTCTGACAGATGTGAAGTCAAGTCAAGCTCCGCTGCAGCAACCCTCATGGTTTGGGAATGCCTCACCACAATTTAGGCTATTGACTTGGAAGGCGATGTGCACTTGCAAAGTCATACAGTCCAATCACCTTCTTAGCTTGGTGGCAGTACAATCCCAGAGATGAAGCTATTGTGGTCTACATGGCTAGCGAAATCTAGTGAAACTCGGGAATTCCTATTCTGGTTGAAGATTTTGGGAAGGACCACCCAGTACTAAAAACGGCATCAATGCTTGTGGTCACTGTGATAGGGCGGAATATCCGGTGTCCATTTCCGTGAGATGATGACAATGACGTTGGAAGCCACCAACCCTGCGGGGCAAACAAACGCGCAGTGGTCGCCACCAAAGCAGTGGGCTGCGAGTTACGAAACCTATGCCAGGTGCTGGCAGGAGACATTATCGATCAGTCTAGGTGCGGTGTGTGATTGCTTTGTTTTGGAACTGTCATCACGTCCATCATAGGTTCAACCCTTGTGAAAAGTAACTACGTTGGAACGTTCAAATGTCTGATACCCATACTCATAGCCAGGGCCTGAGGCATTTCTTGCACTACAGGTGTGAGAAACTCTCCGGATCCACCTGTGCCAGTGTTTAATATGGCTTTTGGAGAAGGACTTCCTACAGTTTGGGGGGAAGATATTGCACATCCACAGGCTCGACGGCTTCTGCAATTCTGCTTGCTGGCCATGGATGCAGGAAATCCAGAGCTTATCACAGGCTGCGGGCGCTTCGCACCTTTGAAAAAAGTCGGGTAGCCTTAAGACACCGTTGCTTGAATATGTTTGACGGGTGGCTGTCATGTGTGACAACGTATGCTGACGCTTTGATAGTCCTGCTAAACTCAACACCAGATGGTGTCACTTGGCTGTGGCAAATCCCAAATCATATCAGATGATTTCAGTGCACCCGAAATTGAGCGGATGGAGTGGATGGATATCATTCAGGCTCTTTGCGTTCGTGGGTTGTATTGGTCAAAATCTAAGGCCCTTAAGCGAATACTTCCGCCTGTAAGTAAGAAATCATCCCGTTTTGCTGCCCAGTTTGGAGCGATGCCCATATATATATATATATATATATGTTTATTTGATGTTAATAATATATGTATCCTCCTGCCAATTTCCACTACTAAATGCTATGACCTAGGTCCCGGAAAGTGAACCAAAAATTTAGTGTGAAATTTCCAGAAACCATTTAGTAGAGAATCATGATTTTTCAAAAACAAAATCAAGTAAACATCTCTAGACCCATGATCCACATTTAGTAGTGAGGTAAAAATGATATGTTAATCATATGATGTCAAATGTTGTTTTTTGGGTAAAACCATTTAGTAGAGATGTTTAAAAAAATGTTGCAAAATCACAGGAACCATTTAGTAGAGGTTGCGAAGTAGAGTTCATAAAACGGTCACAATGACACGAGACAAAACTGAAAAACCATTTAGTAGAGATTCCCATTCCGTTGCCCCCGATAGTCGTTTGGCCAATCCATGTCCATCAGGATGAATCACGTAAATCCAGATAGTATATGATAATAGATGCTCAAAAAAATAAGAAGCTTGAAAAATAAATATAAATTCTAGAATGCCAATGAGTATCAAAGATATTCCTGGGTTGAAGTAAATCAACATGATCGGGTATACCGCGATATGAAACAACAGAAGTTGGACAAAGATAGCATCCTTGCGGTATCCTGCCATGCCGCCTCCAGTCTAGCCAAGTGCTGCCTCTACTAAATGGATGGTCATGGGATCAGTCTATCTAGAACTGTTTGAAACAAAGCCCTGTTGCATCCGTGTGTGCCCTATTATCCCTTACGTGCTATGGAACACCATTTTGTAGTCCCAAAATGTCCAAATTCTATCAAGATTTTCCCTGTCTAGCCAAGTGCTGCCTTGCCTTTTTTGGGGGCGATGCCAAATCCCTCGCTTGGGTGTTTCTTGCTCGTCGGGTGCTGCCTTTCGTGTTTGTTTTTTTTTGCGTTTTTTTGGGGGGCGATGCCAAATCCCTCGCTTGGGTGTTTCTTGCTCGTCGGGTGCTGCCTTTCGTGTTTGGGTTCTTTTTTTGCCTTTTTTGGGGGCGGCCAAATCCCTCGCTTGGGTGTTTCTTGCTCGTCGGGTGCTGCCTTTCGTGTTGGGGTTCTTTTTTGGCCTTTTTTGGTGGCGATGCCAAATCCCTCGCTTGGGTGTTTCTTGCTCGTCGGGTGCTTACTAAATGGATGGTCATGGGATCAGTCTATCTAGAACTGTTTGAAACAAAGCCCTGTTGCATCCTTGTGTGCCCTATAATCCCTTACGCGCTATGCAACACCATTTTGTAGTCCCAAAATGTCCAAAATCTGTCAAGATTTCCGCGTCTAGCCAAGTGCTGCCTTGCCTTTTTTGGGGGCGATGCCAAATCCCTCGCTTGGGTGTTTCTTGCTCGTCGGGTGCTGCCTTTCGTGTTTGTTTTTTTTTGCGTTTTTTGGGGGGCGATGCCAAATCCATCGCTTGGGTGTTTCTTGCTCGTCGGGTGCTGCCTTTCGTGCTTGGGTTCTTTTGTTCCCTTTTTTGGGGGCGATGCCAAATCCCTCGCTTGGGTGTTTCTTGCTCGTCGGGTGCTGCCTTTCGTGTTTGGGTTCTTTTTTTGCCTTTTTTGGGGGCGGCCAAATCCCTCGCTTGGGTGTTTCTTGCTCGTCGGGTGCTTTCTAAATGGATGGTCATGGGATCAGTCTATCTAGAACTGTTTGAAACAAAGCCCTGTTGCATCCGTGTGTGCCCCATTATCCCTTACGTGCTATGGAACACCATTTTGTAGTCCCAAAATGTCCAAAATCTGTCAAGATTTTCCCTGTCTAGCCAAGTGCTGCCTTGCCTTTTTTTGGGGCGATGCCAAATCCCTCGCTTGGGTGTTTCTTGCTCGTCGGGTGCTGCCTTTCGTGTTTGGGTTCTTTTTTTGCCTTTTTTGGGGGCGGCCAAATCCCTCGCTTGGGTGTTTCTTGCTCGTCGGGTGCTTACTAAATGGATGGTCATGGGATCAGTCTATCTAGAACTGTTTCAAACAAAGCCCTGTTGCATCCTTGTGTGCCCTATTATCCCTTACGTGCTATGGAACACCATTTTGTAGTCCCAAAATGTCCAAATTCTATCAAGATTTTCCCTGTCTAGCCAAGTGCTGCCTTGCCTTTTTTTGGGGGCGATGCAAAATCCCTCGCTTGGGTGTTTCTTGCTCGTCGGGTGCTGCCTTTCGTGCTTGGGTTCTTTTGTTGCCTTTTTGGGGGCGATGCCAAATCTAAATGGATGGTCATGGGATCAGCCATATGTGTTTCATGTTTTTTTCTCTACTAAATGGGCCCCGTGTATTTCTCTACTAAATGGTTTTGGGGTTTTGGTCGAGTGATGTTGGTCCCGCAACTTGTGCTCAAATGAGTACCTCTACTAAATGGAACAGGGTGTTTGGTCGAGTCATGTTGGCGTCTTAAGACACTCTGAAAATATATCCAAATTTTGCGTTTCAGCTGAACCAGGGGCCCACATTTAGTAGTGAAATTCGATCATGCATGCACATCCATTTAGTAGAGCTTGAGGCTATGCAGGCCGTTTCTTCACTACAAAATGGTTGCACAGCCCCAACCCTTAATTGACAGGGGGTTATATATGTTATTTTGTTTGGTATATCTCTTCATTGGAATCTTGATATGTTTATACTTATAGTGTATATATTTTAAGGTATATGTATAAGACACTATTTAATTATATATAATTATACACATATGTACTTGCACACAAATCAGAATTAACCATAAATTCCAAAAAAAAAATATGGTCATGGCAAGAATATAGGGCTATAAGTTTGGGGAAGCACCACAGGCTGTTCTGCTGGAAGCTTTGGGAGGCCGACATGCAGCGTTGGCCGAGGAGCTCATGGTAAAAATTGGTGAAGTCATGGGTTTTTTCGATGTGGCAAAGCCAATGCCATTTTTATATCATAAACCACCAGCCCCAAATCATCATTTTTATGGGGTTCTATGAACCATCCCCAAATCGTAGCTTTATTTTTGGCTGTACCAAAACAAATATGAATTTAAGATAAATGGGGATAGTTCAGCATGCTAGATCATCCCATGGTCCCATCCTACATCCACCATGGTAACCGGGGCATATCACAAAAAAACGATGTTTTTTTAGATTTAAGCAGCAAGAATGGTGTTGTAACAACCATGGTGTTGTAATAATTGAAATAATGGGGATATGCATACATTATCATATGATCATACATTTATATATACATATATATATAACCCTTTGGTAATTGAACAGTCTGCAATGGAAGCCATGGCCCATTTACTTCGATGATTATCCTATTAAACAGTGTATTTGTCCCTAAAGGGTGATGGGGGTATAACTCCAACATTATATGATTTGGGTGTATCTGAAAATGGGAAATATACAACAATGGAAACCCATGTCTTTCATTTGGAAATGAGCTGGCGGCTTTCTGGATAGCTATGTTACTTTACTGGAGGGTAACAAATTGAAATTGGGATTTACCCTCCTGTAAACTAACAGTTCGATGTGCAAAACCCGCCATTTGTAGATCATTTTCCGCAGAAGACCCTGGAGGTTGTCCACATCTATGTTAGTTTATCCCAGGGAAATCTACCAAAATTGTGTGTTGAAGATCTAGATCTCGCCAAGCTGGCTGAATTGGAATGACCTTACTGACCGAGGTCACCAGTATTTATGATAATGAATGATAATGATGGTTATGATTATGATTGGGGAACTTATGGCAATAATGATATGATACCTGCCGCTATAGTGATAGTTATGATGGCAAAATGGTTTTATTCTCTTTGTTTCTGAATTTTCACCATGGCTGGGGCCCAGAAATCACCCTTCAGGAGCCAAAAAAGAACGGAGAGAGAGACTGCAAA